ATTACCATTTTTTGTTGTGGTGGGAAAAATGGTCTCAAATCGAATTTATAAAAGACAGAATTATACGTTAAAATATAAACTTGGCTACCGCTAGAAGAAATTTTTTCAAAAAGCCTATAATGTTGGCAGGCCTGGTGCAGCCAGTTTGGCAACTCTAAATCAACTTAAGTTACAAACCACTAGAAATGCAAGACAAATTGTTTTCAAACGCTTATCAACAATAATTCATTTACAATGAAGATCTAAAGTTTGTCGCTTCACTAAGTATGTACTTTGATAAAGTACCTATTTCATAATGTCCGGTCTGACTAAATTTTTCAATAGAAATATGCTGTTTCTTAAAGGATTAACCTTCTACTTGCAATTTAATAGAGCAAGTATTCAATGTTTAGATTTTCGGTTTGAGGAAGTTTAAAATTTCTTTTTAGCTTCGATTCCAACAATTTATAAATTATTTTTTTAGGATTGCAATATTGATATTAGAAGGCTTTTTTAATAATGGTGATATTGTAAAAGAAAAAAAAAAGATTTTAACATCCTTCGTTCTGGTTATAAATGCAAATTTTGTAAGGGTATGAAAGGCATCATTTCTAGAAATTTCATGAATTCTAATTCTGCAACAATTTTGCCTTGTAAAATCTTTCAAAACATTTGTACCATCATTTGCATAGCGTTAATATAGAAGTGTTTCCCTAATTTTCTTCTACCCCAATAGATCTAGTTTCTTTTTTTTTTCTTTCTTTTTTTTTCTTTTTTTAACAGGATAAAACCTTTTGTTTATTTCAATTGATTTTTTCCTTTATTTTTGTGACACAGGTATCAACTTCTGTACATTAACTATCACTAACGGTAACATTTGGCAGCAAATTCTTTTCGTTTTTTACTCCACTCAAATTAACAAATTTTAAATTTAACTTTATTACAATAATAGTTCATCTCTATTTACTTAACTGAGCAAAATATTCTTTCCTGTGCAGTAATTTCATCATGAAAACATTGAAAATTGCAGAGGAATTGAAAATTGCAGAAGTGTGCGAATGTGAAGTATGGACTTAAAAAAGAAGCATTAGAAGCAAATAATAGAAAAAATTTCTTTTTTGATGGAAAATAAATTACCAAAAGATTAAAGGACAACTTGAACTTTTGAAGAATGTCCACAAATTCTTTTTCTGAGGGTGGTTTAGCTCGAATACTCAGCATTCCATCTAGAAAAAAAATATTGACATACAGTTTTTTGAAATGAATAAAATTCCTACAAGAAAGTGATTACCTTAGTGAGTGTGTGAAAAGTGATTAAAAGTGATTAAGTCGTGGTGACTCAGGGGATAGAGAGTTCGCCTTCCAATGAGTCGAACCGGGTTAGAATCCCACAGCGATGATTAGTCGATACGAATTTCGCACCCGGCTCGACTCAACCACAATGCTGACGTAAAAGTAACCTCAGAGGTAGATGGATCATGGGTTAGAGTTCCCTTGCCGTCAGGCTAACCGAACAAGATTCTCGTGGTTTTCCTCTACATATAACGCAAATGTGCGTTAGATCCATCAAAAAGTCCTCCACGAAGGCAAATTTTTCAAAATACTTGATCTAGGAATTCTATTGTCTTCTGGATTGAGTTGAAAAATACAAGACTAAGGAGTTATCTAATAATCCCAAACATTTTTAGAATCATTTCAAGCAATTTGCATACAAAAATAATTTTAAAAAGATTGAAACTTTCAACTCAAAATCAATTAAAAAAATTTTAAACCCAAAAATAAGGAATGAAATACTCATAAGTTTCGAAAGAAATCGGGTGAATTTTCGGAAATGGTAGATGTTTGTTACGAAAAAGATTAACGCCAAACATTTTCGGCTTTGTGAAGCAAATAACTTCCTTTGAAACTTATTTCTTTTTAAAATGAGAAGCAAGCGAGAAAACGTCATTTAAGTCATAGTTCAAATATTTGAAAAAATTCGTCTAAAATATAAATTTTAACAAAACCAAATGTGAATACTATGACAAAAATTCGTTTTTATACATCCTTTTTTATCGGAGGAATAAAAAATTTTAAACTATTTTTTAGGAATTAGGTTTAAAATTACCCCTTGCACACGCATTCCAAATTTAAGGATCTCATCAATGACGGGTTTGGAGTCATAAAAGAGACATACAGGCGAACAGAAACTCTTATTTTATTCCTTAATTTTTTTTTAAAAAATAAATATTTAATTTTCGTGCTATATATATANATATATATATATATATATATATTAAAAAACATAGCTCACCTCCCATATCTTTTTTCTTGTTCTTTCTGCTCTTTTGGCGACGCTCTAATTCTTTGAAAGCAGCTGCGGAATGTTGAAGTCTCGCGATAAATCTCTCAATATCATCGAAACAGTGATTTAAAATAGCCTGGAATCAAAATAATTATACAGTAAAAAAAATGTTAAATATCATCAAGTGATATGAAAAATTTTCTAATTACAATAAAAAAATTATTAGAATGTAAAATTATATTAATAATAGTATTTATTTAACAACAGAGTGTAGCAAGAAAAGTCGAGAAAATATATTATATAATAGAATACAAGTAAAATTTTTTTATTTCTTTTTAAACACCACTTCATTTAAGCAATATTTTATTATATAAATTAAATAATTTGTAATTACATGATTCGCTGCGTCATGTCTAACTTTAACAATGAGGATCTTCCCCCTACTAATATAAGTTTTTTCCCTTATGGCCTGAGAGTATATCCAGCATGGAGCGGTAAAATTTGTTAGAAGTGCGTAAATATACCCTATCATTTTATTAATGTTACATATTTATTTAATAATAAATTACCATTTTTTGTTGTGATGAGAGGTAAAACATGAAATAAACTTATGTAAGCTTGTTTGTCCATAAGAAAGTTTAATATTAAAACTAGTTCATATCATCACAGCTCCTGATAAGCTGATTCGGCAAAGTGCCAGGTCCTTCAAAAAACAGGTATGTATATAGAGGACCAACATTCCACGATCTTTAGAAAATTTGTTCTTGTGGTGACTGTGTTTCAATGTAAAGTTTTTGTTTTGTAAATCTGATTTAAAGTTATTTTCCACATCACTACGTCTAAATGATTCAAGAAGTGCCACTTAGTTTCAGATCTCGAGGGACCTCCCTCGCTGAGTATCGACTGCCAAATTCTAAGTGTAGTGTAAAGATAGGGGGCTCGAATCTCGCTGCTACCCTGGATGTATCTTCCTGCTGTCCTTCTACTTGACAAAAGTTAATAAGCCTTAATTCAGCACATAAGCCTGCAAATATATATTGTGCCCATAAATAAATAAATCCAGACCTCTAGTGGTGAGACTTTTAAGATGATGGCAAAATTTCTGAGTGCTTCAGATTTAAACAGTCCGTTGTCGCATTCCTGCATTAAAACCCATTTACAGAAAAAAAATTATAAGAAAAATTCTGCTTCAAAGTGATTTTATATATTTGCATTATTATTGAATTGCAACATAAATATTATTTATATTATGAATTAATTGTAGTAAATAAAGTTTTTTTTGTTTTTTTTTTGGAAAAAGCAACTTTAGTTTTAAATAATAATCCAAACCCAATGGAGTTAACAGGAGTTGAAATTATTCTAGATTTGATTATAATGTTCATTTTGTAGTTATAGTAATTTTAAAAATTAGTGACAAGTTTCAATGGAATTTCAATGGAATACATTGCAATGAACAAAATAAAGGGTGTACAAAAATTTAAATAGTTTTTCATAAATAGAAAAATTGCGTTCATAAAGAGAGACATAATATACTACTTACAACATCTCGTTCGTATTTCTCGCTACTCGTGGAACTTGTCTCGTCGTTGGAATCTCGCCCAAAACTATTGTCCCGATCAACTCTGGAATGCATATTTTCAGGTTTTGAATATCCAGACGATGAAACGCGCTGTATCATACCATCTGAAAAAAAATTAAACATATTATTGAGTACATAAATCGTACTGTGTGCTGGCTCAAACGTATGAAGCTATAAAAGTGTATGCTTTTTCCAATGGTCGAATAATTAATACCTTGAGTTCAAAGTTTATCTCCTTCCTCTACCTAATAAGAGTTCAAAATTGATCTCCTCACTCATTAAAATATAAAACTGAGCTACTTTATAAGAGTTCAAAATTTATCACCACACTCATTAAAAATATAAAACTAAGCTTACCTTATAAGAGTTCAAAATTTATACCATCTCTCATCGAAGTATAAAACTAAGCTGCTTTATAAGAGTTCAAGAAAAAACATAAATAAACGCGAATTATCCTTTTAGTATGAAGAAAAATAATTTTTTCTCTACAACAAAGTATTTTAAGAAATGACCAATAAATATTGAAACCATCCGTCAAATTTTAAATATCAATTAAAGAAAAATGGAATCAGTTGGTAATGTACTATTGCTGCATATTGCGAAGAAAAATAGAATTTTTTCCTCTCTAAATTTAAAAATTAATTACAAAGCAAATCAACAGATAACGCTGCTGATTCGAGAAACTATAAAATCCGTTGTTTGCAGATGGACTGCTGACTGAGCTATTTTCAAGAACGTGAGTTTGCTTCATACTGCATGACATTGATACTGCACGCGAGTCTCTCTAAAAGCATAATTTTTTAGTGTTCCTCAGTTAGTAGTGTCATCTGTCGGCGAACTCCACTACTAATTTGTAATTGTTATAAAGAGTAGAATTATTTAGTTCATAAAGGGGAAATGATGGCTGGTAAAGAGCAAGGAAGTTGAAGAGCAAGGAATTTTTAACATTAAAAAGCAACAATTTCTAAAAATTAACAACAAACAACGTACCTCCTTTAGGTGGTGAAGCTGCAGCCGCAGCTACAGCATTGAACAAATTGACTTGTTCTCTAACACTTACTCCATTCACTGGAGGTTCAGGAGGTGGACTCAATGGAGGAGGAGGTAAATGGCGTCCGTTTTCTTTAGGACTGAAAATTAAAAAACATATTATAACAAAAAGGAAAAAAACATCGTTCAAGCAAAATAAAAACCATATTTTAATAGTTAATCATTAATTAAAAAATTAAGTTGGCCTCATTTTCACGCTAGAATAAGTCATTTCTATCTTATTTTTTTGTTGGTGCACATTCAGTTTCTTTCAGCTGTCAACAGAGGGCAGCACTGATTAGATTTTCGGGCTCTATTATTTTTTGAATGAGGCTAAATATATATATGGGAACACTTTTATTCTAACTCAATATAACAATCTTTCTTTTAGTACCAATTGTTTTGGAAGATTTTTCATGGCAAAACTCTTCACACTAGTTGAGGAGTCATTCTTAAAGTTTTTATAAATGAAATCATTTTTAACTATGCGAAATTCAGATCAGATAATATGAGGAAGGTAAGTTAATAATTCATTTTTAGCTTTAATACATCACTTCTGAAATCATGCTATAGGATTGCGATATTTATATTAGAATGGTTTTAGAATTATAGTATTATTAAAAAGAAATTTCTACTTCTTACGCTGATTTTGGTCAATATAAATTTGGTATGAGGGAAAAGGACACCATTTCTACATGTTTCAAGCATAATCATTCAAATTAAACTCCCAGTTTTGCTATGTAAAATCTCTCCAAAACATTTGCTGCTCAAAGGAAAATTGTTTGCAGAAAGTTAGTTTGAGGTTTTTCCTTATTTTTCCCTTTCTTTTATGCGTTCTTTTTTATATTTTGTTTTGAGTTTTTCTTGAATTTTTATGATAATTTTACATGATTAAATGTTGTTAAAGAATCATTCTCACACTATTTCATTGATACATTTTGTTTTGGTTATATTAATACAATAACAGAAAAACACTATTTTGCCAATAAGATCGTGTCAGTTAATGATGATTCAATATCTTTCCGTTTTTAAGTTTCCTAATTTTTAGTTTTTTGGAATAATTTCATCAATTTTTTTAATATCTTTTATTCGTTTCTAATTTAAATCTTTTTTTCTCTTTACTTTTTTTTTTTTTGTGTTTGTTTCTCGTTTTCTTTTCTTCTCAGATTATGGATTCTATGTACTTGCAGTTTATGCACAGTTAATCAAACCTAAAAATCTAAATTTTCTTTGCATTTTTTTAGTTATAAATGCAAAATTTTTTTTTTCAAAAATCAATCACAAATCAGGAAAAAAATAGATAAAAACTTTTTTTTTAAAGTGCCTCACAGTTTTTCTTTCAAAATGAAATTCTTTAACCCCTTGGGGACGGGTGATTCAGAAAAGCATTCGTACAAAATCAGAATCAAGTTGCAATTAAATAAAACCAGACTTAAAAGCCANTGAGCTTAAAATCCAATATCATGATTCGTTTTTGTGGTTGTAATATCGCGCGATTTAAAAATTATGCATCGTGATCAAAAAATTAAAAAATCATGATTTGTATTTTCGCATTTTTTAAATTCGATGTAGAGTTTCATATTTACGTGATTTAAAAGTCTCATATCGGGATTTATATTCACATGGTTTACAAGTTTAAAAATCGCACTTTTTGTCAAATTTTTGTTTATATATATATATATATATATATAAATTTTTTTTTTTTTTTAAATATTTTATTTGAAAAGTGTTATTTCGATATTTTTTTTCATTGGAGCAATAGAGTGATTTATTAATTAAATTATAATATTGCATTTAAACTGTCTTTCTGTTCTTAGATAAATTTGATTTAATTAAAATAACTCTTACTTACATTGATTAAATGAGTTTCAAAGATGATTTTATTCAAAAAAATCACAAGATTTTAATTTTTTTTCTTCAAAATTCAGGTTATTTTTCATGTTGACTAGTTAAGCCTTTTTTCATTTAATAATGAAAAGTGCTTAAATGCATACACTTAATGTTGTCAATATCCCTGTAGCAATAAAAATAGTATAGTTTTTACTAAAAATCGTTATTTTCAAATACAAGTTGTAAAATCAGCACATTACACAAGTTATAAAATCAGCAAGAAATGTTATTTCGAAATCACTGTGTAATTATAAAAATAATATATAAATCACTAAAAAACGTTTTTAAATAGCAGCAGTTATTCAATAGCATAGTATATAAAAATAGCAAAAAATAGCGTATTATACATTGATAAGAGTTTTTCAAAATCACCACAGCTATAAAAATAGTATGTGTATATAGTATAGTAGTGATAGTACTAGTATAGTAATTCTCTAAAAAGCGTAATTTAAAAGTCATAACAATTATAAAAATAGTACGTAATTCCCGAAAAAGCATTATTTTAAAGTCATAACAAATATAAAACTAATATATTAACATCTAAAAAGCGTTTTAAAATTGCATTATTTATAAAAAATAGCATATTATTCAACAAATCTCGTTATTTCATGATCACCACAGTTTTAAAAATTGTATGTTATTCTCTAAAAAGCGTTATTTAAAATTCATAACATTTTTAAAAATGGTATGTTTTGTATGAAAAAATCTTGTTTCAAAGTCACAATAGTAGCTTATCATTTGCTAAAAAGTGTTATTTTAAAGTCACAATTATGAAAATAGCTTATAATTCACAAAAAAAAATATCGTTATCCCAAAGTCACACCAGTATAAAAATGGTTTATTGTTCACTGAAAAATGTTATTTGTTATATACAGGGTTCCAGCGAGCCTCAAAATTTTTAAAAAGTGGTGACGAAAATAAAACTAATGTCGATGTTTTAGTTTCCGTGTAACTACCACTAAAAAATGTTTTCCAAAGAAAGTATATATGCATGCGAATTCCGGTTTGCTGAACGACTTTATGTTAAAGTAATATATCATACCTGCCAACTTTCACTCTTTCCGAGAATGGATTTTCAGAGTGGTTGTAAAACAATAAACGAAAAACAATCTGACTCAAAAATATATTTATATTTTGATCTCGTTGAAATTCGCTTGCTCAAGGATTATTATGGTTTCATATATTTATTGTAATTATTTATATGTAGTGCTGGTCAAACTCATTTATAATTATAATTCAAAAAGTTAATTGGAATAACCTGAGTATTGCTACCACTTTAAATATGAAAATAAAATCTTCCGGAAAATCCGGAAGAGTTTGCAAGTATGAATATCAAAATAAATTAAATTCCTAGCTTTAACTTATGTTTACTACCACTACTAAAAAATTTTCAAGGACTGCTGAAACCCAGTATCATACCTGCCACCTCTTCCGGATTTTGCATAAGATTTTATTTTTATATTTAAAGTGGTAGTAAATATATACTATTTTTCCTTTTATAAACTTAATTTTTAAATGCTTTTGATCACCACTATTCTTACAAAAATTAAGCACATATATTAATATGCGTTACAATCATGGTTGTGAACTTAAGGTTTCTCAAATACAACGTATTTGTTTGCTTAAAATTGAAGTTTTAATACCACTGGGATAATGATAATGGAAAGGATTAAAAGTTGGCAGGTATGCAGTATATATTTATGCCGAAAGAGCATTAAAACTTCTTCAAGTAAGTCGAACTTCAGAGCAATATAAAAAAACAGCTTACCTTGGTTTCCATTTACCACTAATAAACATCTTCATTTCGTTTACTACTTCTTGGGCCTGTGTAGAAAAACAATATGAATTATTTTGCATCTTTTTTCGCAAACATTTATTTAAGAAGTTACAGCCATGCAATCACTATTTTAAAAATATATTACGATGCATATGGACGCACTGATATAATAGGAATTAACATAAAAGATACATATCGATGTCAGAAATAAATTGGATGATAGTCAGTTGCAAGAGCATAAACACAAATGGATTGGTTAAAAATAAATTGTTTTCCGAGTTACTACAGCTACGAGCCGAGTTACGAAATTTTTATAGTTATCGTCGTAATTTCAATTTGTACAGTGTGTTTGATCTTCGGATAAAACACTTTATTTTCGAATAACTTTTTTATGGCTGAAAGATATTTACATTGGAGTTTTCTACGCACGCTACGAAAATATAAAAGTATCCCACTCTACTAAAGTTATTTGTTTTTGTGTTGAGGCAATAACTAACATTATTTTTTAAAAGGAATCCTCATTTTTGGAATTGTTTAAGGACTTTGTCTCAAAAAAATATTATACGAAATCAATTAACTTGTGTTCAGTATTGAGCCAGCATTTATGAAAGATTACACTATCTAACTCACCATAGCTATAAGAAATTAATAATAACGCATCTTGCTTTCAGAGGCAGAAGAAATTTACGTATGACGTCTACGTATTACGTTTAGAAATTACGACAGAAGAAATTTACGTATCTTGTCCTCAAGAACGCAGAAAATTCCTGAAGGGTGAGATGTCTTGCCCTAAGCGACAAAAGAAATTTGCGTGTAATGCAGTGTCTCCGTCCTCAGAAACGCAGAAAATTCCTGAAGGGTAAGATATCTTGCCCTAAGCGGAAGAAGAAATTTGCGTATGATGCAATATCTTTGTCCTCAGAAAAGTAGAAATATCCTGAAGGGTGAGATGTCTTGCACTAAGTGACAGAAGAAATTTGCGTATGATGCAATATCTTCGTCCTCAGAAACGTGGAAAATTAATGAAGTTTCAGACATCTTTTCTTCGTCGATCGGTAAAATTTATGAATTACAAGATATCTCTTCTTTAGAAACAAAGGAAAAAAAATCCTGAAGGGTGAGATGCCTTGCCCTAAGCGGCAGAAGAAATTTGCGTATGATGCAATATCTTCGTAGTCACAAACGTAGAAAATTAATGAAGGGTCAGACGTCTTATCCTCGTCGATCAGTAAAATTTATAAATTACGAGATCTTCAGAAACAAAGAAAATTCATAAATATCGAAGGATCTTAATTTAAGCAACAAAGTATGAAAAAAAAATGTTTTGGATAAAGAAAATCCATGAAAGGCACGAACTATCTTGTCCTCAGAAAAAAATTCATGAATGACAATTTATCTTGTTCACAACAAAGTAAGTTAATGAATGTCGATAGATTTATCTTGTCTGCAGCTAAGGAAATTCAAGAAGGACGAAATATTTTGTCCTCCAGGATAAAAAAAAAAGGTTTTAAATATCGAAATATCTTGTCCTCAATGTCGAAGACAATTCATAGATGGCAAGATATTTTGTCATTAGTAATAACGATAATTTGAGAATGACAATATATTTTACCTAAATCGGAAAAATAAATTATAAATGAAAAGGTATCTTGTCCGTGCAGCGCATTTTTTACTCGGAACAAAATATTGTTGATGAATTTATTAATTTCATATACAGTACGAATAACAAACTTAAAATAAATGATAATAAGTAAATAGAATAACAAACATAGCAAAGTGAGCTTATTCATTTTCTTGGAGAATTTCTACCTGATAAGCATGAAAAAAATGTATGAAGATTATTTTGTTGTTACCCTTGTTGTTATTTAAGAACGGAATTTACGATAATTCTTTCACATGCAATCTAGAAATCAAATACTCCAATAGATTCATACTATAATAAACATTGATGTAAAATACTTACAGACACCCTCGCACATTGAAATATGTGCATTTCTGGAGGGTTTTGATTTTTGTTTTTAGGATCGTCTTTTACGATAAACACAACAATGTTGTTGTAAAGTTCTCTGGGATCGTTACTCGTGTAAGAAGTCGGCTCACTAATCAAGCTCATAGGGAATCTCTCCACCACATCCTAAAATTAAAAAGCTTTTTATATCCTGGAAAACTTAGCAATATCATTTGCAATACAATGGCACACATTAATGTTACATTCATTAATATAAGCACTATGACCCCTAAATTAAACTATGGGTATTCGAATTTTTTTTAACAGGGATATCATTGGAACTCAATGACTCTTATTGATACTACACTCATTTGTATTAGTAATCGGTATCTTAAATTATATCATGGACTTCAGGAGATTATAACAGAAATATCTCATTGGAGCTTAAAAACCTTTGGAACTGAATGACAGTGATTAATGAAGGGTCATTTAGGTTTCCAAACATCTTCAACAGGAATAACATTGGAATTCAATGACTCTTATTAATACCACACTCATTTGTATTAGTATTAGATATCCTAAATTTTATTATGGGCTTCTTTAAAAATTTATAACAGAAATATCATTGGAACTAAATGACAATGATAAAAGCCGGGTCATTCAAGTTTCCAAACATTTTTAACAGGAATATCATTGGAACTCAATGACGCTTAATAATTCTATATTCATTTTTATTCGTACTAGGTATCCTAAATTTTATTATGGGCTCCTTCAAAAATTTATAATTTAAAATAAATTTATATCAAAAATATCATTGGAACCGAATGACAGTGATTAATGCAGGTTCATTCAGGCTTTCAAAAATTTTATAAGAGATATCATTGGAACTCAATGACCTATTTTAATACTACACTCATTTGTATTAGTACTAGGTGTCCCAATTATATTACGCACTTCAAAAATTGATAACAGAAATATCCTGAATATACTCAGAAATATACTCAAAATCATCGAAACTCAATGACGGTGATTAATGCAGAATTATTCAGATTTCCAAAATTTTTTAATTGTAATATCATTGGAAGCCAAAGACACACATTAATGCTACACTCTTTAGTATTATTACTGAATATCCTAAATAAGACTATGAGCTTTAAATATTTTCAGTAGAAAAAATTTCTTAAACTTCTTTCTTTCTTAAAACCATGTTAATTTTCCTGCAATATATTTTAAAAAACTGTCGATTTATTTATTTTTAATTAGGACACATTATAGCGTTTGCATTTATTTTACTTAACTATATAGTATCATTAGAATTAGTATATTTTTTAATTTTATTTCATCTTAGTTTATTTGTGTTTAACATATTAAAGTTGCATTACATATATTTATTGAATAATAAACATGCATACGAAAAAGATGCCACACGAAATTTAAATTAAATTGTGAAGAAATGTCATAAAGTAAGGAAATGAATAAAATGAAAAAAATATATAAATAAAATAAAAATATATAAATAAATAAAATATATAAATAAATTAATTCTAGCAATGACATGAACACGAAAAAATGCGTTTTGTTAATCATATCGTTGTTAAATATAACAGGTAGAAGGAAATTTTAACAACCAATATGATTGCCCCTCAATAAGAATTCCTTTTTCTTTTTAATTCCGAAATATTCAAGTTAAATATTTTTCTAACTTTGATATTGTAACTTAAAAATTTCTAATTTTTTTTAAAAAAATGAAAAAGAGAAATAAAACGAGTTATCATTGAAAATAGTCTTTGAAATTTTTGTCTTTCTGAAATGTCTAATATTGTTTATAAGCACATATATTAGCATATGCATATTGATGATTAACAAAGTATGCACTGAAACCACGCAGTAGTTCCGCTCTAAATTTTGAGCTATTATCGTTCTTATTACTGCTTTATAGCTTTTTAATTTAGCAGTTTGCTTTCTTTAAAGTGAAAAATAGAGATCTAAATCGTCAATGTTCATCACAAATTGAAATAAAGCACGCTTAAAAGAAGATTATATTTGGATGTTTTGCAACTGAAATGGTAATTTAATATGTAATTTAGGTCCATTTTAGGTAATTTATTTGATGTTTTATTTGAGCTGGTTCAGTAGAATCGGAGTTAGTAGCCTATAAAGATGGTCAGTTCAAGTTTAACCACTTAATTTGTCTCAATTATTATGTATTGAGTGTCCAGCAGATGACTGCCTGATCTCAAAATTAAACAATTCGGAAACAAAGGGTGATAGACGAATGAAACAAACGGTATGTCTATTGTAAAAGTTGCAAATATTTTACACCGAAATTTTGGCATTCAGTTGCAAAAGTTCCCAACGAATGGCGCCGCAAGCCATCGATTACCAGGGGGATCAGTTTTAACGTTGAAAAAAGAAAGGAGGCGGTCATAGCGAATTATTAAGTTGAACACCTTATGATTCTGGTTGCTGAAACAACACAATTTATATTACTGTTCCATGGCATCTATATTCTTTTGAAAAACATTATACTGCGGATTGGGTCATCAATTGACAATTTTTGTGACTAAATTCCAAAATTTAATAATAAATTTTTTACAGCTTTCGCAAATATGTGCTGCTTGTTTCTTTTCTCTATCATTTGCTTCCTAGATTTTAAAATCAGTCAACTTTTTACTGGACTGGTTATCTATCATGAATTTAGGTGAAAGAAGAAAAAACAGTTCCTCAGCACAGTTACTTACGCCATTTTCATTGTCAATAATGACTACCCATTTCTTTTCCAATCTCATCTGCATTTTCTGAGTCCATATGCCACTGGATTTCTCCATCTGCAACAATCTACGAAGTCCATCCTTTGGCGTAGATATGCCTGAAAGTGAACCATAAAAATACTTCTCATTTTGAGAGATAAATGTATAAAAACGTAGAGATGAGGTTGCACTCAATTTCAAAGATAATTAATACTTTAATTAAAATTGTTTTTCGAAGTTTACAATTCGAAACATTATTGTTTGCACTCAAGTCATATAGTACCTAAAAACCACTAATTATAGAGGACACTAAGCATTAAGACTTAAAAAAAATGTAGCATTTAAATTCGTAGGTAATTTAAAAGTAACTGTGAGAGGTAAGCTTGGAGTGATAAGGATTCATTTTTGGTTTCATAAATTTATATTAAAATTATTTCAATTACCATTACCTATAAATATATTAAATGTATATAGGTAAGCAGTATCCTTCATTAGAGTATCAGAACATTAACTAGATAACGAGAAATAAAATTTTCCTTTTGTAGTCTTAGTATTTTTTTTTAAAATCATTCCTAGAAAAGATCAAAAATAGTCAGATATGTTTTGAGGAATCTTTTTAAGCAATCAGAATATTTCATTGGCTGCTATTATGACGATGTGAGCCTTGTGAAATAATCGCAAAATTAATCTAACCCTTACCATTAACGATTTTTGGAAGAAAATCACAACTTTTCTGTCATTACAAATACTGAACCGAATCGAAACAAAAATAGGTTTAAACTTCTTTTTCAACGCCATTTTTCTTAGTATGGGTTCACTTTTTTTAAAACTTTGTGTAGAGTACTAGAAATGAACGTTACATTACTAAACACTATTGAATGCTACATTCACTTTTTCTTTTATATATGTGTACATAGTTAAACCCCGCTATAGTGAGCCTTCAAGGGACCGAAATTTTGGTACACTATAACCGGGAGTTCACTTTCTTAATACAGCAAACAATTTTAACTAATAGTTCTGAACCCCTCTCCCTTTTATTACACATTATTTAACTAAATAACCAATAAAATGAAATACAAAAATGACTAAAAAACAATATGTAGTAAAAAGAAAGACGAGTTAAATTTGATTTTTTATTATTCTTCGTCTTGTGTACAAAAAATTTAGGGACGGCCTTTATTTAGGGAGGGGAAATTGACATAAAACAAGCAAACAAGAAAAAATGTTTACGGCTACACTCCACTTTATAGATGATTTTAAAAATCGATGTATGTATTTTGGGTAGAAATTTCAAAATTATCAGAAAATTAAGAAAAAAATCAGTCGAAGGCAGTTCATAATATCCAACTTCCTCTCTCTCTCTTTTTTTTTGGTTCACTATATCCACAAAAAATAACATTATATGTATATAACAAGGCACGGGAGTGAACGTTTTGTTAACTATATCCAGGAGTTCACCATAGCGGGGTTTGACAGTATATATATTTCTCAAGTAAATGATAAAGTATAATTTTTCATTTCGAATGTATCACTGTGTGGTACAGTAGCGAAAAGTATGCATGACTAAAATCTTAAATTTCAATGTTAATTTTTTTCTTCAATATTTCAAAGGTAAACGCGAATTCTGTCAAACTAAATTTTGCAAACTGCTAATTGAAGCAAAATATCATCTTTCACTAACTAAATACGTGATAATGTTCTTAAACCAAATAACCAGAATAAACCATTAAGCATAACATTTTACTAAGTAAATACGAGATAATGTTTGTACGTCAAATAACCAGAATAAACCTTTAAGCATAATATTTCACTAAGTAAACATGAGATAATGTTTGTGAGCCAAGTAACCAGAGTAAGCCATTAATCATAATATTAAACTATAAATATTGTTGCTACTAAGAAATTTTTCTAAACAATTACACTAGTAACTACACTGAAAAAATGTGAGTGGAATATTACTAAAAAATTTCTAGGAAACTAGGATTTCATAAACTTTCTATAAACGTCACTACTTTGAACTTAGTCAACAAAGTATGTTTATTGGGATTTCGCAATCTTCTCTAGCAATGTTATTGCATTGAACTTACTATCATACATATGTTTACTAAATTTAATTCAGTAACAATGCTAGGAAAGCTTATAAATTCCTAGTTTCCTTGAGATTTTCTAGTAATACTGCACACTTTTTTTTCTAAGTGTAGTTAACTGCTACGAAAGTAGTTGTTACTAAATGTTACACTCTAAAAAAATTTAAAACAGAAAATATTAAAATGACTGGGTTTCAGAGGTGCAAAGGTAAAGTATGATTACTATAAATTTAAGAAAAAATCCATGAAAACAAACATACGCTCACCATATTGAGAACCAACAGAGAATGTCGCCAAATGCTCCAAAAGATAGGTTGGATAATTTTCACCCGGATCACTGCTTGGATCTGAAATTGTGAAAGTAAGTCAGGCACGTTACTAAACCACTCTCTGAAACATAGTAAACTTATTTTATGAAAATTAATTTCAATGCAGCGATGTTTAGGATGCACGGTTCACGCACTTCTCTTGTGCAATACTTGGCATCTGATTAAAAAGCTATGGTGCCACACCTATACCATTGCAAAGGGCACCGAAAGGGTGACTTCCTGCGATTCGAAAATGAAATTCATTGGTGCGTTTTCCTACAAAACATGGATGCGATTTATATGGATGCACACATTGTAATCAAGGTCATTAAAGGTTATTTGGTTTTGCATAGCTTTTGTCGGAATCCACTTGCCGATTAAACAATTTTAGTAGATATATCTAGAAAAAAATTATAGACTGTTCGGTTCAAAACAACATTTAAAAGCAATCAAGTTTTTATGAGTAAAACGTAGCTCTATAGCCAAGGAAAATAAAAAAGCCATAGTTTAAGTTCCTATCTATCTAATCTTGCTGTGAAGAGTTATCTGGGCTTCAAAACAGACAAATAACTACTATACTTTAAGAGTTATTAAACTTTTTTTAACACGTTGAATGCCATAGGGGTCACCGGTGACCGGCGAAGACACGATTATGAGAAACACATAATTCGAGTAATTTTTTCTTTTTTTAATATTATCGTTACTAAAATGGTTTGAAGAAATTAATTCAATATAGAACACACAAAAATAGTTTTATTTATATACACGGAGATGCCAACTTGCTCCGGACAGGGAATAAATATTTTCAAGTGGTAGTTTATCAATTGTGATTCTTGGTTTAATAAATTCAATTTACTAGATTTTTATCCACTACTATTTCTAAATAATTCACAGGCTTACATAATTCATCACTTTATAGTAGATATATCATGTATAACCTTTTAAAAAGCAAGCAAAAATAGTCAAATATTTGCAAAATTTAGTTTGTAGCTATTTAAAGTTATTTTAATTATTTTGGCGTGTCCGGAGCAGTTGGTATCTCTGGTTATTTGCCGTTTGGCTAGACGGGCAAGCCATGTAAAATTAGCGCGGCATTCAACGTGTTAAAAATCGCCAATTTGGTGACACATTCCCACCTACAATGAAAATCATCAAAATCTCTGCCTTATTCTCAGTTATCGCAAATTTTTATGAGCCCAGGTAATTCAGCATTGAAGTAAGTTTTCAAATCTTAAAAAGTTAGGTCACAAACGCTTTTCACAAAACTATGTCTTTTCTCCACATTCACGTTTCGTGCCGCTTTCAAAATAAGAGTAGACAGCGCTGGCTTTAGATTGGCTAAATTGACCTCACAGTCATGAGTAACAGTTGGCCAACTCACAGCAGTCATAAAAATTGCATATTATTCGCAAAAAAACATCATTTCATATAACGACGGAGCCTTTGAAAAACACCCTTAAGAGGACGTTTTATCAAGGAATAACACTTTATATCCAATTCTATTTTATCAACGTGAGACATTTCAAATTCAATGTGTTGAAATTGAACTCAGAAAAAGGGAATGCGGGATTCCGGGTCAGTGGGTTTGCATAAGGTAGAGTAAATCATGAATATTCAAATACAGGAAAACGTTTTAAAAAAGTCAAACTGCAAACGAATTATGGCAGGATTACTTAGGATTACGCTGTGGGATTTAAAAGGACTCTATACGAGGGGAGAACTATTCATGTAAAACTCTCTTTCATCTACGTAAGTAATTTAAAGTTCAAGGAAAAAGCGAGTTCATCTAAACAGGAGTGAGTTATGAAGCTCCAAATGTTGAATAAATGCTTTCAAAATATCGAAAAGCGAACAGAATTACTCAGAGGTAATTTTATGCTGAAGTAATTTGCTTGCAGTTTGATATTTGAATACATTTTTTATGCGTATATAACTTCATGTTTTACTCTAGGCTTACGTAAACTCAATTTTCACAAAACTAAATTTTCTAAAAAAGAATTAAAAAAAAAACAATTGGAAGGAAAACAGAATTGACCATGAAAAGTTTCTCCCACGATTTAGCGCTCTCTTAACTTCAAAATATTTACTGAATATATATTTTGACTGTTACTGAATATATATTTTGCAACATATTTTCATAAAATATTAAACTTTTTAGTTATACATTTATGATATTGCTTTTAACTTCATAATCTATTCATAAAAGCAAATCTACTGTCTTTTAAACTTTTAAAAGGGTAGTATATTGTTTCATTTCAGCTGCTACATTTCTAACGTTTCAGCTACCTCTTCAGATCTGTGTAAGAACTACAACTTATGTATAGATTCGAAATAATGCCGGCTCAAATCTTTAATACAAAAAACACTAACTAGTAAGAAAACTAAACATTGAATATTTGGTACCATCTAGTAAGAAACTACATATTTGAGGAAGTGGGGCTTCCCTTAAAGTAGCAGCAATTTCAGCTTATTTAAATTTTACCGAATAAATTTTTTTTGAAATTTATAACTAGCGTTGGACTGCAGACCTAATTCGCAGTTTGCAACTATCAGCAAGACCTGGTGGCCGAGCGGTTAGCGGGTCTGGCTGCGAAGCCAATGGCTGCAGGTTCGAATCCTGCACAGGGCATGAATGTTTCTCTGTGCGTGTTGTCCTCTGTTGTGAATTTGGCCCATCCAATGAACTTGCATCTGTGACAGTGTAGCGTGGGTAATGTTGCTCTCCTTCGTGATTTTGGTCACAAGGTGCTCACAAGGCAAGCCAAAATAAGCAACACTTCTGGCACCTTCGATGGCGAAGAACGACAAGTTCAGTGCCTGCCTTTAGAAAACAAAGTCAACGACTATCAATGTTCAGCTCCGTAGCCTTGTAATTTTAAGCCCAACCAGGAGACAAGGGAACTCCTGGATTAAGCAATAAGACAAACTAGCCTTCGTGGAGGATTTTTTGATGGAAGTAACCCGCATTTGCGTTACATTTAGAGGAAAACCACGAAAACCTCCCATGGTTTATCAGGCGGCAAGTGAATTTTAATCAATGATTCGTCTACCAGTGAGAATATTTTACGTCAGCACTGTGGACAGAGAACAGAATTCGATTTCACCATTAGGATTCGAATCTGGGTTACCTCATTTGATGGAAAACACTCTATCCCCTGATCCAACACGGCCCTAACTCTATAGATGTCCAATTTCTATACACGCATTTGATTACCGAGTTATTAATGGAGATTATGAACATTATATGGTAAATGTTAAAAAAGCAGAAAACACATTTTATGTATTTTCTATCGCTTTAAATACTTTGGGAAACCTTTGGCAGCCCTGAGACAGGGTTAGGAGGGGTAATTTATGCAGAAAACCAGAATATTTTTTCAAAATTTAGTGGTTATAACCATAAAAATTATCAAAATATTTTGATTTCCTTCCGTATTTATGCTAGGGTAAAAGCATTCTTTTCAAATGTCACGTTTTTCTAAACGTTCCTAGGTCCATTAAGTGACTTATGATAGATAAAAATAATTAATTTGATTTAGTTTCCTTAAAAATCTAATATATATAATTATCTTACGTGGCTCCCAAATTTTGGCTGCATTTCTTTTCCGCCGGTGGCAACGTTTGCTTTGTTTTGTTTACGTTACTATTTCTCTTACACGGCGAATCGACCAATGATTGCCGCTAAAAATGTCACATGCCAAATCTAGCTGAGGTGGCTCAACATATAGCGCTTTTAAAAACGGAAACTGAAATAACCAGAGAGCATCAGCTGCGGCAATCTCATACTATTAAGCTAGGCAGAAGTGAGTAGTCTTTGTCGATAGATCTCTATTTTAGTATTTTGTCGAAAGCGCTTTTTTTCACGAATTTATATATTACGAATTTATTTGACGATTTTTGATTTATATCACGAATTATACTATAGCACATTTCTAATAGGTTTAACGAATTACATGTCATTTATTTGAATTCAAATTTATTTTAATGACTTAGTATTTACTAAAAAGATGTAATTTTTTTTTAAAAAAAAAGTTGTTATATGGATTTGAATGATTGTTTTGAATTCTTAGAATTTTGTGCATTTGCAATGTACCTAAGTTAGCAGCGAGCGAAGCGAGCTTGGTTTGCGAAGCAAACCATATAAGATTACGTAGCAATTTTCTGGGGTTGGCGAGCATTAGCGAGAAGGGGGTGCAGACCACTAGTTTGTAATACTTTTCTTTAAATACAGAAGTTTGAATACAGGAGTAAGCAATAATTATTTTTTGATAACACCAGAACAGATATAATTTCTTCATCAGTTTACAATTATATTACTTTTAAAATATAAATTAAGTATTCTAGTATTTGAATTTAAATATTTTATCTAGTAAACAAAACCATGATTACCTGTGTTGTATCCATTTGAATATTGAGAACCAGAATTACTTTTGACTTCGTGATGCCTTTGTGGTGCCATTCCGTGAGAAAAAGAATCAGAATCACTGCAAATAAATACAATAAGTATCAGAAAATTTGTATGATTAGAGATCTGTATACAAATGTAATTTCAGAGTACCTCTGCTTTAAAGTAATTATCAAATTATCATGAATAATTACGTCTGAATACATTTGCATGTCCGCCAACTTTTACGCATTTTGCTTAAAATTTTATTTTTTTGCTAAAAGAGATGTGAAATTTATGCTTTCTATTTATTTCTTTTATTTATAAATTGAATCTAAAATTATTTTGACCACCACTACTTATACATAAGATATCTATAAATGTAAGGTAATATATCGATGGTGCGTTTTAACTCAAGCTAAATAAGAAGCTTACATTATTTTTTGCACATTGTTGGGATCTTGCGTATAAATTCAATTTCGACAGTGACTAAATTATTTCCACCCCAGTCACATAAGCTCATCTTGATACCATAGAATCTTTCTTTATTCCTATAAATCATTTTTTTCCATCTTTGGCAACTTTATTTCTGTTATTTTAAATCACTTTTGTTTCTTTCGCAATCACGTCTGGCTAGTCTTGAAAATTGGCTCCTAATTTGAGAGCTTGAAACATGTCGACTGTTATTTCCTATTTATATATTTCTGAAGTTAACGAAGTTTTTAATGAGGTAATATTTGTACCCGTAATAGCAGTTCTATTACAGCTCATGTAAGTCTTTAATTTTGGTGATCTTATGTGGAACAGTCGGTTTCTCTGCAAGGCAAATTGTCAGCAAATTTAAATTCCTAATAAAAGGGTAGACAACATCTGTATTTGGACCGGAACAGCCTGGTTGTTAGGGCACTGGGCCAATGTCCAAGAGGTCGTGGATTCGATCCCCGCCGGCCGAAGACTTCCCGTGTAGTAAATGGTGACTTATGCAAGTTAAATCTGTCGGGTCACAAAGTCCTCCATGTCCCCATTACAAATCTATACCTCTGGGGGTACTAATCCAGGAGTTTCCTTGTCTACTGGATAGGGTTCAAAATTACAAGGGTACGGAGTTGAACATTAGCAGTCGTAAGCCCAAAAATTGAAAAATTGGACCTGCTGTTTAACGACGGTTATATATATATATATAAAGATCCGTATTTAAGCCTATATTATTACATAAAACATCACAACATCATCATTTATCAGGTATTTTATGTACATCTGCTAATTAGTTAAAGATCGCGATGGTCAAAATCAATTAAGCCAAAATTTGCTACAATTTAATTTTTTGGGGCGATCCCAGGTTTCATTGCATCAGGAAAAACTAAAACGTGGTAGTAGTAATATTAATATAATCTTTTTTTATATTACTATGTTTGTAGTTACCAGAATAGTTTATTTTATAATAGTAAATATATATCGATCCGAAGGAGGCGGGTATGATATTTTAATTCGATAGTGGAGGCTAATATTAAGAAAACAATTACAGATTTGAAATCAGTGACGTTAATATAACCGAAATCCGTTAAAAAAATATCTTATGTAACGGTAAACAAAAAAGAAATTTTTTCCAGTATTATTTATTGATATCACGAGTCTTCTCTCTGCGTAAGACGTAGAAATGAATTATTTTAAATGCGCATTTCATATTTTTTATTTTCAGATAAGTTTTGTTGAAATATCTAATTTATTTCTGCAAAAAATACGGTGATTGAATATTTTCTTCCCGTATTACATTGTTTTGGGTGTCAGCAATCATTAATTTCTATAGCTATAGCAAATAAATAAATAAATAAATAAAAACGCCTATACTCAGTTGCGATGTATTTCATTTGCACAATATTTGAACTTAAAAAAAAAAAAAAAGAACTTTAGATAAAAATGTTTTTTTTTTTTCTTTTTCAAAAAACAGTGAGATAAAATAATGCTTTACTGACTTCCACGCTATATGTAAAATCCAGCGTAACGTTTGTATTTATTTTTCGCCAACCCCATGTGATTCACTTCAGTTGAAAAATCAGTTCGGCTAAATCTGTGTGGGGAGTGATAATATTTGATTTGAAGATAAAAGTACTTTCGGCAGTCAAAGTTTTAAACATTTCCATTTTCTTATCATAAAAAGTAAATGATAACTTCAAATAAACCATTGTTTCGAAGATGAAGTGAAGAAATCTTAATTCATCTACCTTTGATAAGATATATACAGTGGTTCAATATATGATGCTAACCTTTCTCCTCTTATGAGAAAGTAATTGCGGCTCTTAAAATTTCCTCTTTTTCTTCAAATTACAGCTTAATGAATATCATTATGTTGCCCTACACAAAATGGTACATCCATAAAATATTTAATCGTGGTAGTAAATTATAAAATTTAATAAAATTTGAATTTAATAATTTAGTACTTTAAAATGCACTACTTTAAAATGAAATAATCTCGTTAGAAAAAATTCTCATAGAGATGTACTGAAAAAATAGGAAAAATAAGAAACAATAAAAAAATAAAGAGTCCATTCGTCCTTAAATCTTTACAGGACAGAAAATTTAGCGGTCGACTTATGCATGTCCATAGTCATAGTCATATTATTTCTCAGGGCTTTTAGGGCCCCGATGGTCCTTTTTCCTTTTCATCTTGATTTGTGAATCGTGCTTTCCAAGTAAATCTGATTTCAGATTTTACAAATTACCAGTATAAATGCAACACAATATTTGTTTTGTTAATTATAATTTCACGTTATAATTGTTTGTCTTAGTTGATGAAGAGTGTAAAAGTACCAGTTTTTTGAATGGTTACTAAATTGAAATAAAAAAGTCGTAGAAAAAAAATAATTCTTTGCCTCTTTTTACTTACCTACACCTAACTAGAAATAAAAATTATCTTGCAAACATACTCAAAACTAATGATGATTAGTCATGTCAAAGCAAAAACAATTCTGTTACATTATTTATGTCCATATTTATGCGACCACTTAATGTTATTTTCTCTGATGAATAAATATCCCTGAAAATATCACTTGCTTCGTTCTCATTTCAGCAAAAGATTTTTAAAGGGGTAAAGAATTAAAGACAAAAACATACAATAGTCCCGCAGTGAACTGATCATTAAGACACGGTTCCGAGCAGATCACCGGAAGTGAGGCATCACTGGCTGTGGTCAGTCCGCTGGTGGGTGACTACTTTGATCATAATGCGAAGGGACCAAGGGTGTGCAGTATTGAACCTCGTGAAACTGTTCTGCCTGAAAATGTCAACATAGTGCGCACCTCGTCGAGCTACCGAAACGGAGGAGCCATCCTCTCTGAAAAGGAGCAAAGTTGCGATGGTGTGTCTTTGGATCATCCACAGGGATGTTTCCAGACCGTCGCCAATAGCCCATTATGGAGCTCCAGTGTAACGCTGTTAAAACTACTACTACAAAGCATACAATTATTGAATTTATTTACCTTTTGGTCTATTATCAATTATCTTAAAAGGCTCATCAAGAGAAGACATATCAACCAGAACAGCATTTCATATGAACTTTTGAATTATTTATACATTATGGTGAGGAAAATAGCTTAAAATCATTTTACGAAGCTTAAATTCATTCATTAAATTCAGAGGTTTTGCTACCATTTCATAAATTTTTTTCTGAAAACTGGGCAAGTTATTTCTTTAGTTACGACGTCGAAAAATTTATAGATATATTTTGATCGATCGAAATTGATAAAAGCAATTTATTTCCTAAACCCTTAAGGCCGTTTGCTTTTATATCTCTTTTTGCGGACAATCTTTGTTATTGCCCGCACACGTATGCACACAAGACGTAGCAAACAAAATGATACGTCAAAAATAATAGGAAATGGAAGGACAATACCACCACATAATGTTAAACTAAGTTCTTAAAATACTATATTACGCAAATACTATTCCTTCCTTAAAATATTGGTAACGGATTAAATATTTCTTTAACGTTTATAACTTTTTACTGGTAGAAGGGAATCATTTTTTTCCACTCTCTTGATATCAACTGAAATTCTCTGGATATTACAGAAGGCTGAAATCAGGACAGGACCAACTACTACGCTTATTGCAGAATATATCATAGAACGATTGTTAATCAAAGACTAAAGCTTTCATAATTTTTACAACATTTTAAAAGTCTCAAGAGCTAGAAGAAAGTGACTTTTTATAAGAACTTTTGAAACATTCTCATGCAGTGTGAATCGGAAAATAACACATCGCACACTAAGACATTTACTTAGTTAACACTACAGGAAAAAAGCATAGAACTTTGACAGCCTTGGCGAAAATAATAATCCTTATAACATTTACAGAGCTACCAAGTACTATGCTATTTTGAAAAAAATTATATAGAGTAGTAAGCAATTAAAAACTAAAACGTTCGGAATTTTTGCTATTTTCCAACATTTTTAAGGCTGCATTGCACAGAGCAGTATTTAATATCAAATTTTGAATCAGCAATATGTCGTGGTGTATATTATAACTTCCAATCAAATCTACAAAATAAAGAATCATAAATTTAGCTACCACTAGTATATATTTTCCCGAAAAGAGCAATCATGCATTAAATTAGAAATTTAGCCCTACCTTTCACTTCTTTGTCACTACTAACTATTGCTTACCGCTGTTTATCTATAAAAGACCATGAACTACATCATTTATTACTAAATGAAATGAATATTGTAACAAAAACATCATCAAACAAGTGTTTTTTCTAGGAAATAAATCTAATAAATTTGAAAAAATTACATAAACCTACCTCAAGTGATTGTCCTTATTTATCCATTTCGGACCATTCGTCACTCCTGGCATGACGTTTCTTTATTAACCTGGAGGAAAAAAAACACCAAACTAATTATTATATGAAGAAATTACGTATTAAAATTCTATACAAAACAATAAAGGCAGACCTGCCAACTTTTAATCCCTTCCATTATCATTTTTCCCAGTGGTATTAAAATGGAATTAAAACTTCAATTTTAAGCAAACAAATACGTTGTATTTGAAAAAAATTAAATTGGATACCATAATAGTAACGCATATTAATATATAAGCTTAATTTTTGTAAGAATAGTGGTGATCAAAATCATTTAAAATTAAATTTATAAAAGAAAAAATAGTATATATTTACTACCACTTTAAATATGAAAATAAAATCTCCCGCAAAATCCGGGAGAGTTGGCAGGTATGTTAAAGGTGATCAACGTTAATAGAATAAATGCTTAAAACAGTAATCAAGTCGAGATTTACGAACCTTGTCTCCTGTATAAATAAAATGCAGAACATAATGTAAATTTAAAAATTCTAATATTAATAGCTTTTTAAAATTCTTAAAAAGTGGTGCCGAGGGCAAAATTATTCAGTTTCGCGCTAAATAAGGAAAAAAGTAAATCTCTGATTTTGTTTTCAAAATAAAACTGGTGGTGAATAAAACGGGGGGTTAATAAAACGATGAACTACTTAATAATATAAACAGCAAATTTGCTACCATTTTTTTATTATTATTTCATATTTTTTGTTGAATATCTTTATCTCTAAATGAGACTTTTATGAATAAAATTGACATTGTTAAATGCTGTCATTTTTTTTGTATAGACACGTTTTTTTTNTTTTTTTTTTTTTTTTTTTTTTTTTTTTTTTTTTCAATACAGAAAAAAATTATTTTCTTTTTTCACTTCAGCAAAATATTTCTTTTTCCTTACTGAATACAATTTAACTATGCTTCTACAAAAAAAGAAAAAAATATATGGATTATTTTACGATTATCATATTTATTTCTTCCTTATTATTAAATGTACAAAATTGAAACAAGCGTTTAATCTTTATATTGGCATTATAAACCATTCTCTGTTACCATGTTTCTAGCCTGACTACCCAATTCATAAATATTACATACTTCTTAAAATATAAAGCTATTTGCTTCAAAATTACTACCATATTAAATGGCATTGTATACAACAATTATATTCATATTTATCTTAAATGGTGGTCAATATTTCGAATTGTTTAATAAAAAATTAACACATAAGAACTACCATAAATACATAATACCATTAATACATAAGAACTAAAAATAAACTCTTTAGGAAATTTAATTAAAAACAATTAGATATTAATGATGTAAACTGTAATATTTAACATTTCTACTAAGCATATTTTGTGAAGATAATTTTAAACAAAATTTTTAAAATATTATGATCAATTGTTGCAATTATATTTTTTAAACAATTCTTAAAATATTATGATATTGCTTTTGAAGATTATTACTATTACTTATTGCAATTAATTCGTATTGAATACTTAATACAACTTTTTTTTAATTATAATAGCGATTATATTAATATTATATACGAAGTTTTCCAGCATGTCTAAGTATACAACTGTCTTTCTGTAAAAAAGAAAGGTCCAATGACTCGGTCGTGCATTAGTCCACACCACACATTAACCTTTGGGGAATCCCTTTGTGTCTCACGGTATTCATGGGGTTTTTCAGATCCCCATATGCGCACATTATGGCGATTAATGCCAGAAACATGAAAGGATGCTTCGTCGGAGAACATTATGCACTGTAGAAAACCGCAATAGCCTCTGTGGATGCCGATGTGCTTGCCGCTGCCTGGTGTGAAATTGACTATCGAATTGATATTCTCCCTGTGACAAAGGGGGCACACGTGGAAGTTCATTGACAAGGGTCATGAAACTTTTTGAGTCTATCTAACCATTTATGTTATTAATTTTAATCTGTCTTTATTATTTTATGAGTTATTAAACATCAAAATGGCTCCGGGACTTTATAAACACCCTGTATATATATTTTTTCTTACCTTAATTTTATCTTTTTGTTCTTTTTGTGTTAATATGCGTTTGTCATGTGTTTTCTTTGTTTGTTAATGTAATTTTGATCCTTTTTACTCCTTGTTTATGTCCACTTAAAGCTGAACATTGTATATGGATTAATTTTTCCAATAAAGCCATATGTAACTACAAATCAATATTATTGACACATTAATCATTTGTTTTGAATTTATAAAATGAACTACATTAATATTAATGATTGTATAAATTTATAATTAGATAAAGCTATATTGAAAAACGATTGTATAAATTGATTGATTAACACCTGTTTCTTAGAACGATTGTTATTTTTAATGGACACTATTGTTAAATATAAAGAAAACTGTTTCTTTTAAATTAATGTCGTATACTATTATAATGAAATTCCTCATCATTCAAATTTCTATTTTAGTTAAGTGATTTGTATCAGAAATGATTTATTGTATTAATACAATCTTTATAAATAAAATAAAAAAAGTTGCTTAGTTGTAAATGAGGAAGGTGCAATTCCTTTTGTTAACTGTGGTTTGAAGAGTTGGGAACACCCTTTTTTTATCCCACAGAGAGTATGACGCGATGGCATTCAAGGTCATGACGCAGCTAAAAAGTAATAACAATACACATTCCAATGGGGTGGTGGTCTATTGTCTGTCGTCCCAAACAATGGGCAGAGCCAGTGTCGATATACCTTCGACTTTGGGTCAGCAGGTTTTAGACCTCCAAACACAGTATTCCGCTGTTTCAATGCTAAATTATATTTCTTAGGAATGACTTGTACTATTGGAATATTAATATTGTGATAGAGCAGTGGTTTCCAACTGGCGGCCCCCGAAGCATTTTTTTGTGGCCCGCGAACTAAAATAATATTTGTCATTTTTTGCGGACAATTTTCGTAAACAGACTATATGGGTTTAAAATACTATACTTTCGTTAAAAAAACCCTAATTTCTTCGTTTCTGTGAAATTTACCATATGATTTAACTGAAACTAAACGTATTTTAGTAAAATAATAATAACAATTAAATTAATTGAGTAGTTATCAGAATATTTTTTTTAATACTTCAGTAATAAACAAATTCAGTTACTTATATAATATTAAAAGCTTCATAAATAATATCGTATTGAAGTTTTAAAATGCAGGAAGAAGTCTTTCCTAAAGCACAAAAACAAACTGTGTTGTTGCTGTTTCTAGTGCCACACACCGAATACCAGCAAGCATGCTTGATTAAACCAAGCGAATTTAAGGCAGAGGGTGCTATTCTCTTTTTTCATTTGCTCAATCTATGGCCAAAAATATGACTTCAGCCACACACACACGTCACTGTTCTTTTTTACAGGGTGGTCCCTTTCATACATTAACAGTTCGTAATTTTAACCTGAACCATTTATCTAATTGTACTTCTAAACTAATATTTTATAACTACCTTTTAGAGAAAAAATAAACTTTATTTATAATTAATTTTAAAACTATCAATTCCTATGCTGAGATTAACAATGTTTTTATATCAAAGCACTTTCTTGTTTTAAGATAAGTTAAGTGCTATTATTTGGTGCTCAGAATTGCAATGGAATTAATATTTGATATCTTTCACCACTACTCGAATGTGAAGGCGAGAATTGAGAATTTATGGAGTTATGATTTTAATTCATTCTTAGAGGAATTAGTAATTCATGGATTTAGTAATTACTTTAGAGGAATTGATAATTCTACGTTCTCATAAATTCTTTAAAAAAATATGAGCAACCAGGCAGTTTTTAAACATTTTTAACAGGCTTATAAATATTTGTTCCCTTATCATGCTTGTTTATCTTTTATATTATAAATAATATTATAATAATTTATTATATTATATTNCCAGGCAGTTTTTAAACATTTTTAACAGGCTTATAAATATTTGTTCCCTTATCATGCTTGTTTATCTTTTATATTATATTATATTATATTATATTATATTATATTATATTATATTATATTATATTATTTCTTTTTAAAGAAAAGAATTTTCTCTATCACTACATATAAATGATTGAACTAGATATATAAATGGTTAAAAAGACAGATGGTTAAGTTCTTTTAGAAAGAAAAAGCTTTGTAAATTTTTGCCTTCGTTTAAGAGTTTCTGTCTCATTTCACTGTCACCAAGCAACAATATTTTGGAAAAGGTATCGAATGTTAGAGGGTAAGCCAATATGAAAATAAAACTGCTTGTGACATAATCTTTAAATGCTCAAAAAAAAAAAAATGTTGCAATTGTCTGAGTTCATAAATAATACAAAAAATCAGAATCTGAATTGGAAATTTTGAGGCTATTCATTCTGGTGGAAAAATTTCGCCAAAAATTTTCGGAACATTAACTGCGGCTGCTTTTTAATGTTTTCCTTGGCAAAGAAGTTTCGACTAACCTTCATTCAAACTATCATGCTCGCAAAGTAAACATCCCCATCATATTTCAATATCATCCGTGAAAAGCCCACGTGATTTGAAAAAAAAATAAAGTTTATTTACAACATCGCATGTAAGCAGTGTAGTGGGGACAAGGTAGAAGAAGGAATTCCTGTTAGACAAGGAAGATGGTGATTTCCCCCCAACCACTATGACTCTCCCAAAGGTAGATTTCAAGGTTGAAAGATCAGGACGACCTTGTGATCAACCTATCAACAAGACTAAAAAAAACTAAAAATTTCTGGGTGACAAGCATTCTACTTGCTACCACCAAAGAAGATCTATTAAATACCTGTTATTGTTTTTGTTTCTACCTGTTATTTTCCGGTCCAGTTATAGATACTAGGCATTCTGTACAAGAGTCAGTAAGGTCATCTTTTACATCAACTAAATGTGTTTCTGTTCTAAACAAAAGCTTTCGAATGTTTTTGCGAAATAATATATAATGTGTTTATTGAGTAACTTTGGCTTTTGTGCAGGAAGAATGGTTGACTGTGCATGTGAAAATTTAGCTACGATTCTATAATTTAAACAAAATGTCTGTTTCAAAAA